TTTTTCCATCTATAAGACGCACCCATGTATAAGACGACCCCCACTTTTCCAACCCAAAATTAAGAAATCAGTATTTTAAAGATAAAGCAGAACACATTTTTATTTAGTAATTAGGTAACATTTACGTGATACACTCAGTGGGAGGAGGTCCAAACTGTCTCTCTGCAGCTCTATTTCCATGCTCTTTTGCATAACTGATTACATTCAGTCATGAGTGAAACTGCCGATCTCTGCAAACAGACTTCCTCCAATCACGAGCCTTATGTAACTGACGCCAGCTGACGCTGAACAAACCAATTAAAGGAAGGCTGATTGCAGAGACAAGCTATAAGCAGTTTCACTCATGACTGAATGTAATCAATTATGCAAAAGAGCATGGAAATAGAGCTGCAGAGAGACAGTTTGGACCTCCTCCCACTGAGTGTATCACGTAAATGTTACCTAATTACTAAATAAAAATGTGTTCTGCTTTACCTTTAAAATATTGATTTCTTAATTTTGGGTTGGAAAAGTGGGGGTCGTAAATAGAGCTGCAGAGAGACAGTTTGGACCTCCTCCCACTGAGTGTATCACGTAAATGTTACCTAATTACTAAATAAAAATGTGTTCTGCTTTACCTTTAAAATATTGATTTCTTAATTTTGGGTTGGAAAAGTGGGGGTCGTCTTATACATGGGGGCATCTTATAGATGGAAAAATACGGTATATAACACAGAATCCCCTCTAACACCTCAGTTACCTAATTACTAAATAAAAATGTGTTCTGCTTTACCTTTAAAATATTGATTTCTTAATTTTGGGTTGGAAAAGTGGGGGTCGTCTTATACATGGGGGCATCTTATAGATGGAAAAATACGGTATATAACACAGAATCCCCTCTAACACCTCACTCATATCTTTAGGCCTAATTCAACATGCCACCGGTTTTTTTTCTCCACTCTTCCAATTGCACCTGAGTTCATCTGAAAGTTCTTACTATTAGCCTCATGTCATTTCCACATATTCAACTGCAGTCCACTTTGGTTTGTAGAATTCACTTTATGCTCAACAGCACAATAGCATAGGTCTGAGGATGAAAACCATCTTCATGCATTCTTCTTCAATACTCTATTGTTAATGTTTTTATAACATACACATTCATTGACTTAACAAATGTGTGTTGAATTTCAGCTTCACAGTTAAAATTTACAATCTAAAAGGATGAGGAGACTAAAACTTGGTCAGGCTGATTCGGGTTTATGGAACCTGTAATCTAACATCGCAGTTTATATCTGGCATAAACTTAACCAATCTTCTCCAAGACAATGATTTTAAGTTGGATTTAAATACTCATGGAAAAAGACTGGGGACACCAGAACTAGATTATACCCTAAAATTGGCTGAACAGATCAATTACTACTGAATTAAATAATTTTTCTCTGATTCTCAGCTTTTCTTTATCCGTATGTGTATTTGCTGCAAGATGGTGTTTCACCAACATCTAACATTATAGCATGCTTACGAGCATATAGTAAGAGAAAAGAGCAAAGAAAAGGAACAAAATTGCATCACAAAATAAAAACCACACCTACTCCTTTCTGCAAAACAAGCAAGCCTACGTACGTCATTAGAGGGTTAACCGTACATTGACCTGAACTCCAGTAGAGAGGAGAGTTTTAGCTGAACAAAGCTGGTTCAGTCCAATGCTGCTGCCTTCTTTACCCTCTTCTCTACTACAATACTCGAGCCTTTGTGTTATTAATCACTGGAAACATTTCCTCAGCTGCTCTCTCGGCAGCTACCAAATCTGTTCTAAGATCAGTCAATACTGAGTAACTCTAAGAACAAAAAGTGCAATCTTTTAAATGCTATGAATAACATAAGGAAAGATACTTGCACACTTTGTTTACACAGCACATAATTTTTTGGCAATTAAATTAACAGTACATTTTACATGAAAGAAACAGTAAGACTTACACAATCAGACAGACTTTCACCATTAAGTTACTGTTTTTAATGTGTGTACGTGGGGAAATTTTTATCCTGCTCTATGCTATAATCCAAGCTAAAACCCACGTTCACCATGTTGCTATTTGTATTGAGAAGGAAATTCCTACTGGCACGAAAGCGAACTGGCAACAATATGTCAAAGAGTTAATATAAACTCATATATATAGCTTAAAATAAAAACTCCTAGCCTAACAGAGCAGAACATCTTTTAGGTACCTGTTGAAAATTCACATTGACACCCATGTCTACCTGGTATGAATGCTGGAAATATGTCCCCCAGCACCTTTTTAATGAATGTTTTATTTTTATTGAATATTGTTTCATATTAACTTGTACTTATTTTACTATACTTCATGCCACTGTGTGAAACATCATCAGACAAGATAGAGTGAACTAATCCCTTCACATAGATGTGGTAAAAATAAGGTAAAAAAATATCACAGTAAGTAAAACTAGAAGTCTCTTTAGTCAAGCTTCATGTAGTTTTCTTAATATGGAAAGAGTTTTGTTGCTAAATCTTCCTGGTCTGGCCTATATTACTGGTATTTCCTGGAGATCTCTCAGCTAAGTACTAACCTGGATTGACTCTACTTAATTTCTGAGTCTAGACAAGGTAAGTGAGATACTGCCACCTTCTAAGACCTGTTCAGGAAGGTATTTAGCATTTGGAAGGACAGTGTTTTTCTGCCACACTCAAGCCCATCTTCAGAACTGGTTAAGAGTTTTCAAGCAGTTCTGGTTTTCCTGGGAACAGACAGAGAAGCCTGAATCACAGCAATGTGGTCTTGTCCATTTAGTGTTCCTCATTCTCCTATCAGTCAGCCCACCTATTGCTCTCTTTATTGCTCTGCAGTAAGAGCAGTTGACACTATCTAGTTCAGAGTGGAAGCAGCAGACATGGGGCCGTGGGATGGAGTGTTGGGTCAAAGGGCCGAAGGGGTTTATGTGAAGACATGGGCTGAAATAGCTTTTTCAGGTAGTATATTTCTTTCAATTTGTGTATGTGTTTATAGGATAGTCAGGCCCAAAGTTAGTAGAAGTGGTACTCCCAATGTTTTGTGCTTGGCCGTCATGGTTGCCCAGGTGACATTAATTTTGGAGTCCTCTAGTTTTGAATCTAGTTGCTTGATATCATTAATGTCATTGCTAAACCTGGTGGCAAAGGAACCAATGTAAGTCTTACTCATCCTTGGAAAGCAGAAGAGCATTTACATGACAAGCAGCCCAATAGGCTGCTCTGCTATAATTACAGGCAATGTAAAAAATGTCAAAGAAATTATTAAAGAAAAAGAGCAATAAAGCACAGTACACTTACCAAAACGTTAGGTCTTCTGTCATGATCCACCATGTCCAATAAGGGATAGGTTTCTCGCAACATGTCAATTGTAATAGGCTGACAAAATCCAAGACTAATGGCATATTTGTTATGGATAGCAATGCATCTATGTTTTAACAAAAGGCATATTTGTTTTGCTTTCCCCAAACAAGTAATACATTTGAAATGGCAGTGACAGACTTATTCTAAGTACAGAAAATGTTTCTATATCCTCTGGGAGAATACATACAGTACAGGAAGAGTGATAAACAGTCTTTGTTCATTGGCTCACTTTACATTTAAGACTCTTATGAAAGCTAATTTTTATTCAGAAGTACAACAATGTCCAAGAACAAGTTTCTTATTAACTCATTATAATTTACGGTACATTCCGATCTGAAACATTTGTGAGAGTTCCTAATAAATGGCTTCAAACTGATTTCTAGGAACTTTGCTTTGAAAATCATTAGCTCTGCTTTGCTCAAAAAAAGAGGAGTTTGAGGCAGTGGGTAACTATCCCAAGGAGTCAAGAGGCAAAAGAGTACTACTCCCCCTTCTTAGTTTGGCTGTCTTTTCACATCCTTTACAATCCCATTTGAGATCTCCTAAGTTCACTGCAGTTCATGGGAGACATTTTATGCTTTTTCTCTACAAAATGTATCTTTGGATCTTGAGAAAAGCCAACGCACACAATGTGCTTAACCCTAGCACATCCCCTTATCATGCTTCTTCAGCCCAATGCAGAATAAACCAAGTATTTCCAAGGATACTGCTTAGCAATGTCAAGGAGTGGGCCTTGTCCTGATACAAGCACACATTTGTCATGGTAATGTTTGAACATTCGCAAAGGACTGTGGGACATCATAACTTGGTCTTGGGAAATCTAGGAGAGAGAAAGAATTGATAATCAGTTTTCATTCTTGTATTCTTCAAGAATGAGAAATGAGAAAATAGGTTGCTTACTTTTAACAGCACTAATATATGGAACTGCATAAAATTAACCAATCCCTAAAGAGTAGCTGTTAATGACTGATTACTGTCCTCTAACAGAATTTGTCAAAAAGGACTTGGAAATGCTTGGCAATTTTATTAAAGAATGGCAAGATTTGCAATGAAGCTTAAGAGGCTACCTCTATCAGTTGAAGGCAAAATCCTAAACTATATATAAATAAAAGACAATTCTTTATTCATGAAGAAAACAGTCCCACATTCAATAGACTAAAGTTACTCACTGGAACTTCAAGAAGATGGGACAGCTGGTCTGCTTTCTTCTGACAAAGACAGTTTCCTGCATTGGTAACAAATACTACAGGCACCAAAAGTTGTCCCTGAGAATTAAGTAGTTTTTGAAAGGCTTTTCGGGCAGCAGGAATGGGTGTCCTTCCTCGTACCAATACTCCATCAATATCAAACAGAATGCCAAAGGTAGGTTGTACACCTAGCTGAAAGGGAGGAGGGAAACAAGAGAAAGAAAACTGTTGTCAACCAGATTTCACATAGCTTAAATTCATAATATGCTTATGCAGAGTGTTATTCTTTGTTCCAAGCAACTTCATATAAATATATGGTTCCTCCCTCCCTTTCACTGTATACAGTATTTACAACAGTCGTGTGAAATTGCTAGAAGTGGCTAATATTCTCTTAATAATCCTGCAAGGGTGCTTTCACTGAGGAGTATGCTTGGCTCAAGGCTATATATTAAGTTTTATAACTGAATTGGGATTTTAATTCTATTATTCCAGGAGCACTCATTTTGGCACTTATACATCCTATACTCAATCACAACATGACCAAAGTGTTGCCACATTACAGATTAAGTGTGGCACTCACATTTAAAAAAAATTAAAATTCACTGCATGAGCTGTATGTCCAGATGGATATCTGGGAAATTTCTTCATAAGAGCATTACTGCTGAAATGTTCATACTTGTTATGAATATTATAGTGCAATTGTGTAACCTTTGCTTAATCTCAGCATGTATTCAACACTTTGCCTTGTCTAAATGATTATAGTTGACAGTAATTATCAAGAAAGTATATTTAGATTACCCAGCAGACCTTAATTAATGACTTGAACACTAAGAAAGCACCCAATACTGTGCTAAGACTTACTAAAAGCTACCTACCGCTGGTTTGCTATCTTTTATAGAGTCTCATGATAATGAACTGGACCATCCCAATGTGGGACTTGCCACAACACAATAAAAACCATTTGCAAACTCCTCAAAATATAAGAAGCCATTTCAGAGGTGGCTGTGGAACTGCTGTGAGAAGCAAACAGCCACTTTGTGCTATCTGCATACTAACGGGTGTTTAAGGGAAATCACAGGGTAAGTGACACTTTGTCATTCCTTGCAAATATAATTCTGCTTTCCTAGAATGGTGGTGGTGATAATAATAGATCCTTTTCAGCTTAAAGTATTTTAAATTAATCTACTTCCAACTTTCATTGGGTAATTTTTCATAGCTAAAGAAGCATTTCTTAAAGCCTGAAGCTTATAGAACTACAGACATGATTTTATAAAGAATGAAGAAAGTGGCAAAGTAGAACATATATCATGCATACAAATACTTTGGTGTAGAATAGAGTGGGAAGAAGATGCACCCAGAGATTGTTAAACTGCTGCCTAGCCAGCCTGTCCCACACCATGTTTACTTATTTAATCCACTTATATACCACTCCTCATGTCAATCCCATTTCAAAGCAACGAGAAACCTTCTCTCTCCATACACCAATACTCTCCTCCTAACTCCCAATACTGTTGCTCTTCCACTTTTAGCTCCCCAAAGTAGAAAGTGTCCCAGTGTTGATCAGCCTCACCACTGATACAGGATGTCAGGCAGTCTTTTAAAAGAACCTTTTATTTAAAAAACATGAATGGAAACCTACCACCTTGCAAAGCAAACCATCCAGTTCAAAGATAATCAGTACGTCCAACCATTTCCCTGGGCCCCCCAAGGCTCCCTTAGAAAATAAAACACTTTGGCTGCAGCCCAGCACTTTCTTTGCCTTCAGGCGTATGTGTGTTTAGGGACTGACCACACCCAGCATTCTGTAAGCAGGTTGATCACTTATTCTCAAATCCCAAATGTGTCCACTAGCTAAAGGTTGGGGGTCACCTGAAGAATGACTCTTGCTCAGAAGCATATTTCCAGCATTTGGAAACACAACCTACAAAAAATTATTGCCTGATATGTAGCTTCTTGTTCTTGAGTATGAAGAACTCTAATGGCTGGCTTCACATATTGCTCAGTCATAATGTGGGTTGTCTGGTTTAATGTGGTATGTGAACCCAGCCAACTGTGGTCTATTTGACAAACCAAGAGTGAAAGAGGAAGAGCCATCTCATTTGGAAAGATTATTGATGAATCAAATACATGCAATCTGCAAAGAAATAGCATTTTGTAATATAGCCAGATGAAGTGAAAAAAATGCTTGTGGAAAGAGAGGGACAATGCATTTGACAGAAAAGATCCCACGTTCCTTTGCCGGGCATCTACTAATACCATGTCAATGAAGTCAAGGCTATAAATTGTAAGGTGTAAAAGTCATTAACTTGCCATGAGTCCCAGATAGCAGACTTGTAGAAAACAATAGGAAACAACACACAGACACTTCATATTTAAAAAGCACAATTTTATCTGTGTTAACCTACTTAATAAATATATACCTTGATAAAAAAATATCTAAGCAATATTTTTTTTATTATTTGGGAAAGAAGATAATGTTATCTCAGGTTATCCATCCAAAACTATTTGTCCATCATGAGACATAAATTATTAACTAAATAACGGGATTAGAAAAAGGGATCAGATGGAGAAGAATTTCAGCTACTAGAAAAAGCAAGCTCACGCCTTGTGTTTTTGATTCAGGTGTATTTGTTAAACAGTTATTTCTATTCAGTAAGTCTTGTTAGGGATTGGATTATATTAATGCTATTTTGATCTGCAAAACTCTTATTTTATTAAAAAGAAATACACTCTCAGAGAAGCATAAAAATAAATACATTTAAAACCTCTGGAGATACGTGTTCCAGAAAAGCATGAATGTGCAATTCAAATATTCCAACTGGGAAGCTTATGGCTTACTTGAAACAAGAGTCATATTAGGTTTTTCAGTGTATAACAATAGTTCACACACTGCATCAATTTGAGCACATACTAAGTTTTAATATAACCAAAGCTAACCCTTATTCAGGGAAGAAAATAAGCACATTAAACAAATAAAAGTACACAATACTTTTCTGGTTTTTCAATGGTTGAATTAGTTGAAATAAAAATGTGGTAAAAAGATTCTAGTAGCTTTGTGTAAGTACCTTTTTTCTGGTTGAAAAACTGGAGCGAATAATGCACATATTTCACATTTTTTAATTGAGGATTCCATTATCAGCCTGCAAACTTTGCTTCCTATATTGCTTTTCAAACTGTTTAGACCATAACTATCTCCACAAATACTAGCATCTGACAATCTGACCGGTATGTCAACTAGCAAAGATGCTAAGAAAGTATCAGTGGGAATTAGTCATGACAAGAGAATATGCATTGTCATTAGCATTAAATATGTCATGAATCCCTTCACTCAAAGGAGTGTAGTTTTCCTATTGTAAGTGCCCTTGACACCTGTAGGAAGTACTGCACTTATTCATTTTGCTATTTTTACTGGGAGATGTTCCTGCAATCCAATTTATGAATAGTGTACTTGTACAATGGCCAAAACTGATCAAACATAAATAACTGGAAACTTCTACTGGGCAAGTTTCTCCATGCATATAGGCACATGGTCAAGAGGAGAAAATTTCTGGGATAATTAAGATCATTGGTAGTTTATAGTATACAATATTTATATGTATTTATAAAGGCTATGAATCCTCCCACTGTATTCTGAGATCCCACAGTAATATTTTTATATGATTAGATGTTTAAGTAGTTAGTTTAGAGATAATTATACATTGCATTTATTCATGCCAGGTTAGATAGTAGCATTTATATATCCAATTACTGCATAATTTCAGTACACATTTGCCCACTAAGTATATGGGGATAGTAATAACATATGATTAGTCATTTTAGTTTAACTTTGCCCAGAAATCAATAAGAAATTATTGGCATAATGTCTGCATTCCATTTGCCACAGCACTGCTGGAAAAAAAAAATCAAGAGCAGCTTGAAAGGTAGAACTCATTATGTGCCATCAAGATGTTGTCAGTTCTTAGCAAAACTACAGAGATTATCTCCAGGAGAATCTGTCCCCATCCTGGTTCTTCAGGGCTTTCAATGGAACACCTATTACTGCTATAAGTGTATCCACCATCTGCTCTTTCCTTCCACCTTCCCCAGCATTATAGACTTCTCCAGAGAGTTAGGTCTCTGCATGTTTCCAAAGTATGATAATTTGAGCCTGGTCATTTGTGCCTCTAGTAAGAACTCTGGGTTGATTTGTTTGATATTCTATTTATTTTCTTGGCTGTCCATGGTATTCTCAGGAGTCTTATCCAACACCAGATTTCAAAAGCATCAGTATATTTCCTATCCTGCTTCTTCAAAGTCTACTTCCATACAGTATCACAGGGAAAAACCATTGCCTGCATGATTTTGATCTTTTGAAAGGTAGAAAACTATTGCTAAAATAGGTAAAAGTGAAACAGGAACATAGAAGGATAAACTTATATAAAAATTCCAGCAATCTAAGTTTTAAATGTTCAATTTGAATGCATTTGATGGCTAGTAGTGATGGCTCGGTTTTGTAAATGGTTGCAAGTATAAACACAATCCCAAATTTTCTTTATCTTTGGGATAAATTTTCTTTATCTTTGTACACCTAAATAAAGCCAAATGAACAAATGGCTATTACAAAATAAACCCACTGCAAAACCAAATTATAAAGCCTTCTCAAATAACTCATTATGACTTATAATTCATACAATGAAGTATTTCTGAAAATCTGAAAGACCTCATGCCTTTTACAATATTGCAAACCATCATCCTCATTAATGGCAAAGTTGCAGCCCAAGTTGATTTGCTCTTATTTGTGCCTGCCTTTCAACAGGAGCGTAGTGTCTAATTTCAAATATTACTGTATTTTTCATGTACAGTGACCTTCCTTATAGAAACATAAACCTCCCTGGGATCAAAGTAAGCTAGGACAAATTATGTGAAGGCACCAGAACCCTCTCTGCTCATCAACAGGATAACTCTGCAAAGACAGAACAGAATGGTACCAGATTTGGTGTGGTGGTGAAGCTGGCAAAAAAAAAAAAAATCAAATTTGAAAATGGTGATGTAGATCAGTGATGTAGAAAAAAAATTCAGTTCTTCCCTATGAGAGGCACAGTAGGGTAGCAGCTTCTAATGTTGTTGGCTGTTCCATTCTCACGTTCCATTCCATTCTCAATCCTGTGACTCAGAGTGCAGCATAGGCAAACTGCACTGTTTCTATACATGAAGGGAGAGCAGATACACAGAGGTGCAATATATTATTTTGTTATACAGATGTTAAAACAGATGTCTCCAATGGCCACTGCCACTAAGAGGCTCAAAAGATTTCCAGAAGCCACATTCTGCATGCTGATTTTGTTCTTCTTTATCCTTTTTTTTTTTTGCAGCAAATATTTATCAATTGATCATTCTCATCTTATCCCTTCTCATACATGGTTACTGATAATGAGCACAAAGATTAATGCTGGTTTGTGAATCTTAATAACTCTGAATATGACCCTCCTGTAAACATAAAGGTAATACTGATGTACTCTTTCCTCCACATATGTGGCACCCAGTATACTAGTTCCTTGTTTAAGGAACTACAGCAATAGTGCTGATGATTACAAAAGGAGTGTTACTAGTTTAGACAGGTTACTTGAGCCCAAATCATTTGAAACGTTGAGAGGGTTTATATAGAACTTCTAACCTAAATAACTTCTCCAGCTAGCAAACAACACAGAATTCCTATGTTTGGTTAACTCAGTGATGATAAAAAAGGCAGCACATGCTTAAAAGCCAGAGTGGATTAGAAAGAAAACGTTAGCATTCTTTATTATTTAAAACAAACACTTTTCTGCATGAATTGTTTAAAACAAGATAATTGGGCTTAAAATGAACTGAGAAAGTTAAGCAAACATTTCAGAATACAAATTCTTGATCCCCCAAATCTGAGTGTGCATGTTAACAGCTTGGTATAATAACTTCTAAATAACTCATTAAATATAAGTTTTACACTGCCCAGGAGTACAGGAATGGTCAGGAATTCAGTCTTCTTCTGCAGCAAAAGCAAAAGTTGGATGTTGAAAGAACAGAAAAGAAAACCCACTGACAGAAACAGCAACTAATGGTAATCTGTGGAGTCCTTGGTGCTCTCTGAGCTTGGTTGTTTGCTTGCAGATGTTTCATTATCCAACTAGGTAACATCATCAGTGCTTGTGAGTGTGGAGTTTGCTCCCTGCTTATATACATTGGCTTGCCCCCCCTGCCAGTGTTGGCGGGGGTGTGGGTTTCTCCTTGATAGTTCCTTGACACCCCCACCAACACTGGCAGGGCAAGCCACTGTATATAAACAGGGAGCAACCCCACACTCACTAATACTGAGGATGTTACCTAGTTGGGTAACGAAACGTCTGTAAGCAAACCACCAAGCTCAGAGAGCACCAAGGACTCCACAGTTCACCCCTCAGCTACAGATATCCTCTTCTACTGGTAATCAATCTGGCAGGAACAGAATGGCAGCTCCTGAGCAAAAAGTAAAAACCACGTTGCTGGCTGCCTGAAAAGAGTGTGGTGCCCTGGCTTAACTCCTTTCCTGGCAAAGCCACAGCTGCAGCCAGAAGTCACGGCTCTGCCTTCCCTCACTGACCTGTTTCCTCCACATCCTCAGCTGCTCCCAGCGTCTGCCTCCATCCAGGGGTTTAGCTCTCCCCCTCCCACACAGGTCGGGAGGCGAGGCGAGGCGAGGCGAGCAGAGCAGAGCAGGCGGGCAGGCAAGAAGGCCAGAGCACGTGGTCTAACAGAAGGAAGGAAAACAGCCGAGGTGAAGCAAGACCCGGAGAACAGGAAAATGAATGAACGGGAACAGCGCAGAGCAGAGCAGCGAACGGAAAGAAAGAAAAGTTACAGGGGAAGGGAGGGTAGAAAAGAAGAAAAAATTAAGTGGGGAAACAGTAAGCGGGAATAAAAAATGGAGAGGGTCGAAAAGAAAGGGGCCAAAACTGATACTCCGCCTTCCCCCGGCATCCAGGCAAATGAAACCGCGGAGCCCACGCTCAAAGCGGTTCTCCCCGCGTACGGCAGGGTCTTCTGAAAGCAGACGGCGCCAGGGCGTCCTTCCCTCCCGCTCTGTTCTGGTTTGAAAGAAACGCCGCCCGGCTCCCGCTACACGTCACACCCTCGGCGCTTGCTCTGGTTGGGGATGGGGGGCTCCCCAAAAACCCCCCC